GGTATATAAGCAGCACGCTTTGCTTTGCTTTAGATTGCAAACCTCAAGCTAGACTATAATCTGCTGGGTTTGCAGATGGCACTCATTCCCCCACCCCCCCCTTTTCTTAATCCTTTCCCACTTACTCTGTTTTGCTTTTCCTCCCTTCTCTACGCACATCCACCTTTTTTGGGTCTTAAATCAGAAAGTGGGGACCTGCGGCCTTCCAGGCAAGGGGAGGAGTTGTAGTTCAAGGAGGTTTTAGAGGGTGGCAGGTTTCTCGTTATCGTTGCCTTTTTTTTTTCTTTTACAATTTTTTTCTTGCACAATCTTGGCTCTGTTGATATTCCTTGACTTGTTTTGCTTTATGGCCAGGCTTTTCTTTTCCTCCACCAAGGAAAGAGTGGTCTGTGTCTCCTTGCCCCTTCTGCCCCAGCTTCTGGAGACAACACCAAGCCTCTCGTTTCTGGCCAGTTTTAAGAGAAGAGAGTTTTGCTGATTTTTGGTGTCCGTCGTCCGGTGGCGTTGTGGAATGTATTGAAATGTGCCAGAAAGCGGTGGGGTGGGTTTTTTGTTTTGTTTTTGGGGGTTTTTTTGGCCAAAATAGATGGGGGTGCATTTTTAGGCCGGCCGGCCAGATTTACACTTCCCAGACTGACAAGTGAACTGGGACAGAATTCTCCTGAAGCCTTCAAGCCCCATAAAAGGAAGGAAGAAAGATAGAAAGAAAGAAAGACTGGAAAAAAGAAACAACCTACGGACCATCGATAGATAGAAAGAAAGAAAGATTGGTTCGGGTTAAGGTTATGGCTAGGGTTAGGATTAGAAAGAAAGAATGAACGAACCAACGGACCATCGAAGCGGACCTAAAGCGGACTTGCAGCATTTCATTCAGATTTTTTTTCATTCTTTTCAGTCATTTTCAAGACCTGTGGTTTCCCATTTTTGCTCATTTGTGATGGGGAGGGGCAGCTTTTGAGTTCTGGAGACAAGCTAGTCGGGCCCCATGCCTTCCAAAATTGCCCATCTCAATCTAGCCCCCATCCTTCGGTCAAAGCGCAGTTGAGAAGCAGAGCCTTCCTCCGCCGCCTGCCGTCCCGAACCTTTTCTGCTGCTTTCTTTCAGCTTGACAATGACAGCATTACCCTGAAGCCACGGCCCCAACCCGAACTCACCAACAGCACCGCCCCTTCCCCGTCGCACAAGGTACAGCGCAGTGTATCGGCCAACCCCAAGCAACGCCGCTTAAGCGACCAGGGTAAGTCCACCTACCTCCACCTGGAGCAGGGGATGAGAGGAGAAATAAATTCCTGACACAGAGGCAAGCAGGTTCTTATGAATCACACGCAGAACCAGCCATTGGCATGTTCAACAGCTTGTTCCCTAGTAGGGGATGAACTGTGTAGCTGAACTTAGCAGCAGAACTTGCAAATAACATAGGCTAATATCTGTGAAGATTCTCAAGTCATCCAGGCGAGGTGGTCTGGAAGTTGAGTCATGGCCACTGGACTTCTTTCTTGTTAGGTTGAAACGTTTCACTCTTCCTCCAGTTAGCTTCTTCAGTCTGAAGAAGCTGCTTGGAAGAGTAGCAAAACATTTCGACCCAATAAGGAAGAAGTCTAGTCGCCATGACTCAACTTCCAGACCATCTTGGCTAAGGTGATATACATACATTGACCAGTGAAAATGCAAAATGTCCTAATTGGGAATTGTGCGCATCCACTGGACTGTGTGGAATAATTTGGCAGTCAGATGTGTGAGATGGAAATAGCCTTCTTTCTATGGTTATTTCCCAGCATTTATAATCATCGGAAGAAGTCTAGTCGCCATGACTCAACTTCCAGACCATCTTGGCTAAGGTGATATACATACATTGACCAGTGAAAATGCAAAATGTCCTAATTGGGAATTGTGCGCATCCACTGGACTGTGTGGAATAATTTGGCAGTCAGATGTGTGAGATGGAAATAGCCTTCTTTCTATGGTTATTTCCCAGCATTTATAAATATCCTCTTAGAACTGCAGAGCAGAAAAGGACCCTCTGGATCATCAGGTCCAGCCCCGTCAGGGAGACACGATGAGGAATCAAACTCCCAACCTCTGGCCCTGCAGCCAGAGATTGAAACCACCGAGCTGTCTAGCAGTTCTAGTATTTAGTTCCTCTGAATACGGAGGCTGCATTCTGTTATCCTGACAAAGAGGCACTGATAGGCTGATTTTTCCATTAATTCACCTAATTCTGTTGCAAAGCTACATCAGACCAGTTTTATCACACCTCAGGTTAGTGGATTTTATCATTTCGTTGGGGTGAAATAATGTCTGTGCTCTGCGGCTAACCAAGGACCTGGGATCAGACATAACTGGAATGTTTGACATGCTCGTTCATTTCCTGTGAAGGTGCGGCCACTAGCAAAAAGGGCCGGGGCGAGCGGGGGTGACCCCAGGCAGAGTGGATAATAAGGATTTCTCAGCTCTTCTGGCCTATTGTTGTGCCTGAATGAAGCCAGAGGCTTTTTAGTTCCAGTGGCTGAATCCAGTTGGTACTCACAGTTAGAATTACACCCATCGAATCAATGGAATCTACATAAAGAGTTGCCTCACCATTAAGCAGTTGATTCAATGGTTCTGCTTTAATAGGCCTGCCGTTTTTTTTTCATTTAGGCCCTCAGCTGGTATTTAGACCCTGAGAAATAGCCTTAGATTGGAGGGGAGACCTGCTGGGAGACTTGATTTTCTTCTCGCCTCTCTTTGCCAAAATCGGGCTAGCGAGACCAGACTCTCTCCAGTGCCTTGGAGTCTGGAATGGAGGCAGCGAGGAAGGTCGTGGATGGTGACCTCACAGGACTGACTCTTTTTCCCTTTCCCTTTTTATTCCCCTTCCTCCTCCTCTTCTTTTTTTCTGACCACAGTACCAACCATCCCAACCTCCACGTCGTATTCCAAGAAAATGCAAGCAGCCAATGCCGAAAACAAGCGACCGGAGGAGGAGAGGGAGGCCGGGCGTAGCAAGGCCGGCAGCACCGTCAAAGTGCCTGCCAGTCCCCTCCCTGGCCTCGAGAGGAAAAAGAGCACCCCCACCCCTTCCACAGTTAGTCCCTTTGTCCTGCGGGAGAATCGGGTTGCTCGGGGGGGGTGGAGCCCCTCCTTGCCTTGTGGACCCAGAGCCACTGGTCTCCAACCTGTTGCCTTTCTGGTGATTTTGGATGACGGCTTCCATCCTCCTCAGGCAGCACTAACTAGAGGGGTGGCCGGATCTACAGCCCAGGGTGGATAATGTCCGCGGGGTCTTGGGGAAGCAGTTTTCTTGCTCCCAAGTTTGTGGGTTGATGAAGGGCCTGCATTTGACCATTGAGGAGGAAGAAGGAAAGGTGGGGAAATGAAATTGGACATGGTTAGAAGTCTACCTGCAGTTTTGAAAAATGAGTACAGTGGTGCCTCGCATAACGAGCGCACCGTTTAACGATGAATCCGCATAGCGATCTGTTTTAAGTGCCAAAACATCGCATTGCGATGATCGGTAAGCGATGTTTTTTTAAACAGCTGATCGGCGGTTCCAAAATGGCCGCCGGGTGCCTAAAATGGCTGCCCGCAGCGTTTTCGCGCCCTGCCCTCGCTTACCGAAGGTGCGAAAATGGCGGCCGGATGGGGAATCTTTGCTCAACTGTGAGTTTTCCCCCGATAGGAACGCATTAAACGGAATGGATTAATCTCACTTTGCGGGGCACCACTGTATTGGGAAGATGTTAAAACACGGCAGGAGAGCTGCTGTTTAAAAGGACGGTCTCTGCTCTTAGAGGCCTGCAGGACTGGCAGGTTTTACTTCTGCAGCAACAAAGGAATCTGTTCGGCAAGAGGTTGAGGGGGCCCCCACATACGGCCCAAAACCCGCCCCGGTTTTATTCTGTTTATTTATTTATTTACAATATTTGTATGTCATCTTTCTTCTTAAAAAAATCCAAGGCAGCTGACCGTATTAAAAGAAACATATTTAAAACTAATTGATAAATTATTAAAATATTTAAAAAGCACTAAACAGATTAGTTGTGCTTTTAATCTTGTTCTTAAAATGAGTTTTAATGCAGTAGTTGTTTAATGCTTTTTTTAATATCGTAATAATTTATTCTTTGGTTTCTAACTTTGTTTCTCTTAATACTGTCAGCCACCTTCGATCCTTTAGGAGAAAGGTGGCACATGAATATTTTAAATAAATAATAAATGGATAAATATCATATTAAAACTCATAAATAAGAGCAATATTAAAAGCTCAAGTAAAGCAACAGAATAAAATCATCCCTTTAAAAATTCCTTTGGTCCACCAGTCGTTTTTAGAAGATAGTATTCGCGAAGGCTTTCATGGCCGGGATCTAATGGTTGTTGTTGGTTTTTCGGGCTCTTTGGCCATGTTCTGAAGGTTGTTCTTCCTAACATTTCGCCAGTCTCTGTGGCC